TAACGTGTGTGTTACTGTCCAGCAACAAACCAAGGCCCACAGGATTAATCCGGATAGGCCGGCGACGAAAGGGTAACTGTGCAACTAGCGATACTATGAAAAACCTTTTTACGGAAGCCCACAATGATAAACGTCGAGGCTTTCAGGGTTGGCTGCACACATCTGCGGCCGTGTCACCGGACAGATTTCAGTGATCCAGTAGTTCATGCAATTTTGTGCCTAATGACATGGTTTTGCGAAGTGCTTTCTTTTAAGTTCCTAGCTGGTCCCGATTTGGATGCAGTACTATGTGAGTTGAAATCAGTGGGCTCCGTGAAAAAAATTATAGGATCATCCGTGGTGTTATCCAACACCAGATGAACACAGTTAAATAGCTTTTGGATAACAGATTGTGGACGCTATTAAAATGAGGTCTCATACATATAGGAATATCTTCTTAAGGAACTACCACCAAATGAAAACGTGGATTCGACGAATGTATGGGACCATTCCAAGGTTTTTAGTGGTGATTTCTCACAACCACGTTGTGCTGCTTTTGATGACACTGTGGATGGCATGATTTTTTCATGTTCGTTTGACCACAACCACTTATTCCGTTGTCCATTAATGAATTTTGGTTACTTTGGCACTGAGAATAGGACTACAGACTAACCGGTACAAAAACTTCAGTTGACGTATGTTGGAAAAATGAGAATAATTTATTTCTTGTATTTCTCTAGAAAAAGCATCAGAAACCGTTTGTTAATGCGTGGTCGCACATCAAACATATGACCGAACACTGGGGTACATTGTGTAAATCAAGCATGTAGACCACTACAGCAATCGAGGGGCTCAAAGACCAGGATTTTTTTCTTTTTTTAAAAGCTCACAAGTTGTGTATGTATTTTCCCTGTTAATGATTACAACAGACTCGAGAAAATCGATGCGATCAGAGGCTATACTACAAAGCTTGACTTACATCGTCATCAAGTCATCCCTACGAAAACAAATCAACACACAAACAAAAATTATTTCCTTTGTTCACGACAGGATGCGCCTATTTGGACCTCACTATATTTGGGCGCAAGATGCCATTGCAAATACTTTGTCTTCGATAAGAACAGCGGAAATAGTCAATAAGAAGGAATCCGGGGAAAATTTGTGCCGTACTGAGTTGTTATTAATTTGCCCATGACTACAAACACAAGCTGTTGGTGAAGTTCAGTTCTTTGTAAATTGCATCCACGCTAGCCTCCGTCTCAACGATATTCAGTCGAATATATCACTAACACCGACATAAATTACTTTCAATTTTGTGTTCAAGTAACACTGACGGGTACAAAAGGCCCATGCCCCTCCGACAATCTACTAAGGAAGAGCAAAATCGGTCGTGGGCTGCCTTAGAGCTTCTGCAACCTTACAGGTAATTTTGTTATGTCAACAAAATAAGTCAGTGACTGTTTTGTTGCCAGTCTCTATCTAACTTGAATGGCTGCCACAAAATTGCAACTAGTTCAGAACATCAACACTGCACTGCCATATTTGTCTTTCAGTTTTAAAATAGGCCTTTCGTGCAGTGAATGAAAATAGGTTAGCTAGGTTGGCCACCACCAGTCTAATTTTGAGCACACAAAAAAATCAGAAAAGTTGTGCAAAGTTCAGGGATGTGTGGTTTCACATTCTCTAGACCTAAAAGCTATCCCATCAAAGGGGAGTGTGGTTGTACAAACAGTACACCGTGAATAACACAGTTGGTTTTTTCTCTTCCGTTTAGATAGTTGCAAGTGCCGGCTGTACAAGTATATCCGGAGAGAGACAGTAAGCTTAGTAGCATGTCAAACTTTATTTTTCAAACAACAAGATGCCGGAACCTAACCTCTATACGGTATCTGATAAATTTTAAGTGTCAGGTTATTAGGCACTACTGAGTACAAACATACGAGCTCTTCTGATTGTCCCATGGCTTTGTCTTGCTAGATGGAGGTAATCTTTTAAAAACCTACATCGGCGTTTCACTGTGAGAAAAAGTTTAGGGTATGTCGATTTCGTGGGGTATGTAGCCTCGAGTATAATCACTTAATTTCCGCGAATTTTGTCGTGCTCTACGGTCTTTTTTAGACAGTTCATTCTAAATGTATCACAAAGATCATACTCCACCATGCAGCAGCACGAGTCGTCTAACTTTGTTCGTCACCAAACAAATATTTTCCCTAGGATTTCCAGTTTTTTTCGCCATCGAGTGAATGTGGTCTTGCATATATGTCTTTTTTTTCTTTTCTACTCCCTCGAGTCTACATGAACCAGGGGAGTGCTGACTACCACCCACGATTTAATAGCCAATTCAATGGTCGGTGTGCCACCTGGTTTGGCGTAAAAATATGGGACTATATATGCGGATCCGAACTTCTTGCATTTGTACATACTGTTGTTAGCAAAAATTGTCGGTTTATGAGGTGCCTCGAGCTTTTCAATGGTAAATACTGAACAACTGCTTTGACTGTCATCCTGGCGTACTACCAACTGTCTTCTACCATGAAAAGAACTTGTACTCCGAAGAGATGTTAGCCGAACGATCTGATTTACTTGAACTTCAAATACGAAAACCAAGGTAATTGTATCCACATTAGTGAACCTCGGTATAACATTTTGGCGTCTAGATACTATTAACTACTATTAAAAACTAAACTTAGACGTCGTCCTCTGATGCGTGTTTTGGTTCTGGACTAGCTTATTCGGCTGGTCCGTTCTTTGATCCATGAAGAAACGGTTTCAACATGGTGAAAGTATGATCGCACTGGATTTTGCTCTGAATTCAGTTTTGACTACAAGTGATGTCAGTTTGTATCAAAAAGCCTAGAAGCACTGTAAAGCCGTTTTTTCCTTATTGGGAATCATCGAAATTGCGTATTTCACGAAATCTCAGGGCCATTCGAAACCGTGGTCTCTCGGCCAGTAGTTGAAAACAACGATTCAAACACTAGCGCCTGATTAGTAGTGCAGTTAACTCGCAGTTGGACGGGACATGGCGTCACTCGTCGTTCAGTGATGTAATCCGCCGCTGATTATACCCAGTTGTACGATGCTTCTCGGCCTTTCATCATACACTGGCTTCACTCACAAGACGAAATCCGTATTCGAAATTCCGAAAAGCTCATCACACTACCAACGACCTATCAGAGGAATAACAATAATACAAGACAAGTGGAACTTTTGTCTGAGGCTTCAGTACTTAACTACTTGATGTGGATTCCGTGGATGAGCGATAAACAGAGCTATATATCCTGTCTAAGTGCGAGTTAATCACATTGCTGATTAGTCGCTGGGCAACGAGCGGCTAAGTGTTCATCATCGCGGGTTCCAAACTTCTTGGAGTTCCGTGAGAAGCGCACCACTGATGATTTCCAGTAAGAATGAAACAGTCGTACACTGCTTCTCGGTTTTTCAGCAAAGAATGGTGTCACCTGCAGGACGAAAATACTGTTAACCAGTCTCAAAATCTCTTCACTGAACCAAAAATTATTTTAGTGTTGGAAAATATTTAGAAGGCAAAGCTAGTCCATTCTTCGAGTTGCCGTTTTGGAGGAAGACACCTGTAATACGAACAAACTACCCAAACCAAGGAATAGTCGTATATAAATTCTTACCTAGATTTAGGAGCTGTGTTCGGACAACTAATACGACAACAAGAAAGCAACCTCCGATCCATATATTCGATGGTGAAATTGTTTTCTTCTCCCAGTATTATCATGCCAAAATGGCACACTCCAAATTAAATCAACAAGACGTTTGACTGCATATAGCCGTTCTTCCGGTTGCACCTTCCGGCAATTTGAGTGTTACTCAATTGTCAAGAGTATAGGCTTATTAGCAATTACCAAACGTATCACACTGGTTGAATCGGTCTGTGCAGAATGGTCAAAGAGAAAAACATTATTGAATACCACTCCGGTTGCAAAAAAAGAACTCACGGATGATGATGAGGCAAAGTGTCCACACTGTATGGATGATTATTTTGAACCAACAGTCCTTTTTATGGACACATCAGGCATGCTTTCCCATCTCTGCTGTCCGGTAGCGCGTACAAAATTAATTGAAAAAGCCTAAACGTGCGTGTCCACTCTGTCACTTTGAACAGCTTCTCTGATATAGCTTACCGAAATTTAACGCGACCGTATGCGAGCGAAGGTTGTAATATCATTTTGACAGGTAGTCATATTTCCCAAGTCTAAACAAGTGCAGATGTGTGTTGTCCCGGAAAACACTCACGGAACTTCTCGCCATGCCGAAAATGTTTTGCAAAATCTTGATGATTAAACACCCTATGGTGGTAGTCTTCGTGGCTCAATGTCAAAACACGAAACCATTTTCAAAGGATATTAAAATTAATGATGATAATAACAATAATACTGTATTGACAATGAGATGGAACCTTCCTTTCTGTCCAATACATCGAAATGTGTTACATCTGACCAGGGTAATGGAGCAACCGTCCTTACCCGATTAGCTGAGTATTACTACCAAATAGAGTTGAAACAATTGCTTTATCATTCAGCTATGCACGATAAAACAAATGTAAGAAGTATAAAGTCCAAAGTCAGTCAGCTCTTGGTGGACATCTATGTTAAAGTTATAGCTAGGGTTCATGAAGGAAACTACACACAAGGTTGCTGAAAACTCTTCGGCAGCCTACGACCGATTTCGCCCTTGTTGGGGCTCATCAGGTAGGCGCAGTCCCCGGATTTCCGTCAACCTTATGTTCTACTTAAACCCAAATTGGACTGTTTTCGAGAAATACACTCATTTTGGTTTTCACGAGAGACTCAACAGAATCCCTCGTTTATGATATGAGCCCCAAGAAGGGCGAAACCGGTCGTGGGCTGTCGAAGAGTTTTCAGCAACCTTATGAGTAGTTTCCTTCATAAAAACATATTGCGGCATCTCGAATATTATACTAACTGAATCACGAGGTAGCCTGTGTGCCGCACATTCGGTTGTAGAATATCATAAACGAAAGTTTCAGTTTAGTCTCTCGTGAAAACCAAATTGATTTGCGAATGAGTGTAGTTCTCGATACCTAGGGTTGTTTGTGGAATCCGAGAAGTTTGTTCATACCTGGGATCATCGTCATCACCCGTGATAGAGCACTGATACTTCACTGACCGATTGTAAGAGAGAGAGTATAAAAAATATGGAGAACCGACTCAATACTAGTCTGCTACAATTTTTCAAGCTGTCTTCCCCTCCAGACACTCGGTCAGGCAATCTGAATGGAAGCTTCCGAAAATATCACTATTGGCTTCGAATGGCTGCTACATCTTGCAGCGTCTCTCGCCAGGTATAGAAAGCATGACAGGCACGCCAACCTGGAATTCGTATGGACCGACGGTACCCGGACTGTTCGCGCTTAACTTAATGCCTCACAACACGGCAACGATTGACCCTTACCAAATTACGCACAATTTGCTGTTCAAGTAGGAGATAGGGTTGACTGAGACTCGATGACTGTCACTGCGCTTACCTGATGAGCTCCAAGAAGAACACTTCCGGCAGAGGGCTGCGTAACGGTTTTCATCAACTCCATGAGTAGTGCGTTCTGTCAAGAAGGTACAGTGCTGTTTAGAATATCCGGATATTTGAAACATGATGTGGGTTCTTTCATCACATGCAGCCGAAGAACATCATAAACATGAGTTTCAATTGGGTCGCTCATCAACGCTAATGCAATTTCAAATTAACTGTACTTCGTCACGTGATCTATTCTTCGTCAAATCCCATAGGTAGTGCTGTGACAACAAAGCTTTTTTGATGTGCCTACTTTAATCTAGATGAAAGTTTATGTCTTCTTTTTGGAGGAAACTCAGTTGAAGAATAATAAAATCACAACATTCAGTTTATAGTGGACCGAATTTCCCATTGTGAAATGAATTGACTGTATGTTGGATCTAAAATGATTCTGATGTAAGGAATTTGAATAAAATGCTGTCGACCCACTCTCTGAAACCCAAAGATCCACAAAATTTGCAAACACATTGCCCATCATAGTCTGACTTTAGTCTTACTTTAGTCTGACTTAGTTTCGTATCGCCATGCGTCAGTCACGGCACTGACGATTGATTCGAACTCCGAGTGATTAATAGGATGCACATTGAAAATGCAACCAAAAGTGGAATGAGTAGAACTGCAAACAGTGTGAAACCCCAAACCACAAGCGAACTTCGGTAAAAAAGACACCTGATCCATTCTACTTAGTCATGGTGACTGCTTGTTGTTGGCCGCATTTCTTTACGGTTAGAAAATGAATTCCCAGGTATCTGATAGAAAAACCTGAAGTCGTGATCGTAAACCACAACACTTATGCTCAAGGAAGGGATAAGCAAAAATCACTAATTAATAAGCATACTGGTCCATAAGTCAACACATTCGCCCGTCTATAACAACCCTGTCAATCGATTCACACTGTGGTCGACTTATAAAGGTTTAAAAACTAGGAAAATACCCTTGGGACTAGCCGTCCTCCACATGAAAGTGGTCTCTTTCGGAACCACGGACATTTGGATGATATTTCGTTCTCATTTAGATCAGACGTTTGTAAACCGATGAATCGCGGAAACAGGGAATAAGCAACAAGCATGGTAGACAGACAATATTCTGGTGAGCTTGTTTAATTCCGAGGCACCTCGTTCAGCTAGCTGCTGTCAACATATCAGGAATTTAGGTTAATTTACGACAAATCACCTGAAAATAACCAAACGGAATGGAAACCCGATATGGTGGAGATGTGAAAGTTAAGATTGTGACAAACACCCTCACTTGCAAATCATTTTGGGTTCCATGTGGACCCAAGTATAAATCTGGTTTATCATGTTCTTCAATTGAATGTGCTGCACACAGGCCGCCTCATGTTTCAGTTGGTATGATATTTGAGATATCGCAGTATATTTTCATAAATGGAGCTACTCGCAAGGTTGCTCATGACCTGTTTCACACTTTTTGGGGCTCATCAGCAAGGCGCAGTTCCCGCGTTCCCGTTAAACTGATGTTCTACTTGAGTCAAAATTGGACTGAATGCGACAAATATGCTCATTTGCAAATCGCTTTTGTTTTCACGGGAAACTCAAGTGGAACCCTCGTTCATGATGTTCTTCAACTGAATGTACTGCACACAGGCCGAATCATGTTTCAGTTGAGTTCAAGTAGGAAGTCCGGGGACTGTGCCTACCTGATGAGCCCCGAGAAGGGCCAGACTGCTCGTGGGCTGTCGGAGAGTTTTCAGCAACTTCGTGGGTGGTTTCGTTTATGGAAGTTAACATTGTTCTTCGGACTCGTATTCGAATCGATACAGTTTAGGCTAGGTTATCAAACCGGAAAGAAAATGCATGGTAAATATATAGCTAAATGAAGGGAACAAGAGAAAACAATGGGATCGCCCAATTATACTCACTCCGGAATTTCAAATCGCTACAGTCCCAGCAAGCAGTCTTCATCCAGCCATTATTTAAAGCCGATGACGTTTCATAAGGACCGATCGTGACATTCAGGATACTATACAAATAGCGTTTGTGAAATCAAACTAGAATGCAACAAAATGTTGCTTCTTATTATGAGTTATAATCTACTTAACTCGATCATCTCAGAATACATTTATACTTACTGGTGTATACGCAGAAACACATACATAAAGTAGGAAAACGTTTACCAGTGCGCGCAACGGAGCACGGACCAAAATAGCTGACAAGGTCTGTTGATATATAACCCAGGACAACAATAAAACCATCTGGATTTTAGTGTGTAGGCATACGTGGTGGACTCCGGATCGTTACGGACAGTAAAATGCTTTATTTCCCTGGACAGAGCTGGTGGTCGTACGAAGTATGCACTCAAATGTTTGAATTCAGAAAAAGTGGATTCAAAAGCATATCCAGGCTGTCTGCGCTATTGAAATAAACTTGAACGTTCCACCCCCCGCTTCCTGTTCCAGTTTTCTGACCGATTTGCTTTTATTGCTATGTTTGATACGTATTTACGTACCGATTCGATGTACTCACCCAAGTTGTTTTCGTTCAAAGACATATCCGATTAAATTCAGTATACCCCCTTTATACATCTCCACTTTATCCAGTTAACCTCATGAGATGCGATAATTGCTACAGAATTCCATACTTGTTTGACGTACAGACGGTAGATGAGGAAGTTAGATGACTTCACCCAATTGGATCGGATTATGACTCGTTCTCCGTGCTTTTCTGAGACATTGCAGTAACTTACGCCGACCCAAAGCTCTTATTTTTCGTTAGAAAAATTAAATAACCAGCTAAGGAGTGGAACAACACTATTTTTTAACAAAGATTTGGCAGATGCAAAGAAATGACCCGTCTGGTTTTGTGAACGAATCACCGTTCTTTTAGAATTACCACATTTGAGAACGATTTTCAGAGAAACGTTTTACAAGCACCACCCGGTTGTAATGGTAGCAGTGAGCCGCTTTGAATAAGTTGAAAGAAAACAGCGTAAACAGCGTTTATTTAAACCTGAAATATCCATTTCATAAAATATGAAAGTGCATGCATATATTCCACTGAAATAATTCATCAAGCGTTTTGCTTTCCTACTCATTTGTTTATCAGCGATATTCGGTCCTCACTAGCCAGATCATCATGAAACGTGGGCTGAAACGCTACCGACTTTCGGCTTGTTGACGTGCGCTTCACAATAGCGACTTTTTGTCCCGCAATCCTGACAAAAGAAACCCTGTACTTTCTGATTAGGTGGGCTGCTAGGTATTTTACCATATAAAACGCGTCCTCCGTCTCAGATTGTATAAACAATTTCCTACTGATCTGTTTTGTTCCACCAGCTTCAGTACGTACATGAGAAGTGCGGCGAGATTTGCAGATCCTCGTAGCTTGACCACACCAGCGAAAGCACTTCGAATCTTCCCAGGTTGCGCGGGAGCTTCCGTACCAAATGACGAAAACAAAAGTACACAGGAAAAGCTCAATTACTAACATGGCACTTTCAAAGCTGTTTGTTGTCATCCAAGCAATGAGATTGGGGTTTTTTGTTTCATCTTCTATCACAGTGCTCACCAGTGTTGTTGCCAGAAATGCAACCCAGACTAGAACTCTGACAGTGCAGACCAATACGGCTTGGAGAGTTACCACCCGCAATTCCTGCAAGGAGGTCTCCAAATTCCGTTTGAAATCCTTCAACAGTAAAGCAATCCACTTGGTCCACTTACATCCGTAGTGTAACTGGTATAGTAAGGCTTCCTCGTACTTCATTTGGCGCCACAATGGAACACACATGAGCAGTGTAGCAGCACACTCCAAGATACCCTCACAGAATAAAATCTGATGTATGGTAAAGAAGGTGTGGTAGACTTTAGGCCATTGAGGATCGGGTAAACAGAGAACTACTCCACCCGCCTGCCAAATTCCATAAACGGCTAGAGAAGGGTAAGACTGCGTCAGACTGCGCATGATCGCAGCAGCTATCCATCCGAAAACTGTCCAGCCTGTTTCCAAATCTTTTTTTGTTACGCGACTAGAATGGAGGGTAAAAACACTGAACATTATTAGATTGGTTCGGAGGCTGCTAAGAAAGACTGATAATGCGTGAATAATCTTGCATCTGACATACCCTTTCATATGCGGTGCTTGGAGGTTGTAACCCCACCATGGAGAACCGAATGTGGCGAAACAATACAGCAGGCCGATAATGTGGAGACGTAGCAAGTCTGTGAGGCAAATGGCGATACCCCAAATGGAAAGTCGGAAATATTGATGACGCATCCTGTGGATGAGTAGCAAAATTAGTAGACAACCCATTGTACCCATAATTACTGTCGGAATAGCTAGTAACCCAACAATTTGAGAAGATCTGTAAACGATTTTCTTTTCGCCTGAAAGTTCCTTGAAACAATGAAACAAAGATTCCAGTTCACGATGAATAAAGCATAAATCGAAAGGCTGTTCTTTTTGAGTGATCTCTGATTGGTTCGTAAGGGATATGTCACTCTGGTTAGGAGTAACTGTCGAGAATAGCTGACCTGTTTCTTCCATGATAGTAGAGTGAAGCCAATATTATTGCAAACGAGTATTTGAAATGATCACGTGACGCAACTTTCATGATCGATCAGTTAGACTGAGGTTATTAGCAGAGCTCAGTCGGACGGATTGCAAAATCTTTGAAAGCATCCTGCCAACATCCTGCACCTCTTCGTAAAAATATCAGTCGTCACAGGCAATTGTGACGCCACTGTGATGGTACCAATTCACCAGACCTGTCCGGATTACTGGTAGCTGAATGATGCATGTACCAGATGGGGTGCTCGGCGATCCAACGCAGTCGTTAAACAAAGCAACCTAACCTACAACCTTATCGTTCACAAAACTAAGTATACCCACCCTTTCACGAACGTTTATGCAGTATACCCCTATCAGTCGTCGGTGCATGTGGCCTTCCTTTCTTTTTCTAACAACCAGTTAGCGAACAGACTCAACATCTGCAGGAGTTAGTTGTCTATGGTTAAGCATCACAGTCATAAGCCGAAGATGTTTACCTCAGCTGACTTTGCACGGTTCCCATAGTACTTGCTCGTTCATTTGGAAATGCTAGGAAAACGGATCACTGGGTGCTAAATTGTTCCGGAATACTGTCTCTGTTGAGATTTCCCATAGCGAACTTTGAGTCACACGTAGGTTTGACGACACCGAATATCGAAACGAAGAATTGGGCTCGAAAGTCTACCGTACTCTTCACACAAAACTAAGTAAGATTATATAACAAACTTCAATTTTCCACGTTCGTGGCGTCAACACGTTCGCAAGTCCGTCACTGGTCGACACTGTGAAGTGGCAAGGTCCGCAAACCAGACAACGGCGTGCGGAATTTTGGTTCGGTAGTGTTGCGTCCATCGCTTCCTAGACCAGTCCGATCAGCAGGCCTGGCACACGAAGAACGCATAGGTAAGTAGGTCGACTGCGCACGTTCAAACATACACATACTAGTATACATGAGTGTCAGATGGGATGGACTTGTGGCAAAGTGAATGGCAGCTACAGGTGAGCAAAACCAGTGGAGATCCAAAGTACATGGCCGAAATAAGCAAAGGAATTATTATGAAATCAAGTTGGAAAAGCCCGAATATCAGTCTCCGTTCTGTGAGAGTAGAGCAAGTAATCAGAAGGGTCAAAAGTGAAAACTCACAAGGGGATACACAATTTTTTTCTGCCCTACATTTCTGTCACTACCATTTTTCGACACGGTATGCTTGGGTAAACCAACGCTACCCTTTGGTCAGATATTAACCAACTGATTTACGAAACTGAGGACCTCAATTCGGACGTCCACTTTGGTCACAAAATCTTAATAATTGAACTAAGCAGTCGAGTCGATCGCCTCGAGTGAGATAAAAAAAACTGCACCCACACTCTACCGGAAGATGGAAAAAGCATTCAGAATGGGAAGTGAGTTGGGAGAAATCATGCCCTCCCAAGTCCTATACAGTTCTTGAAAAGTACAATGTGAAGAATCATTTAATTGGAGGAAATCATATTTATGGGGCTTTCACAAATTCTGAGGTGATCCGTAATGATTTTCGTGGCCAACACTGATATATCATACATTCCTGGGAACGTCGCTTGGAAGTGACGTAGACGTCCTAGACGTTACTGCCTACGAAAACTGTTTGTTTAGACCTTGCAATGATGAAACGTTCGCTTTGCAGTATGGAGGGCTAGAGAAAATGCTCTGAAAGCAATCCGGAAAGGTTCACTCATTTCATCGTCATTCGTCAAAGGTGTACAGGAATAATTGTATTTCAACCCGATCAATGGGGCACTTTGTAATAACGAAGAGCTTCATTGCCAGTTCTCTTTGTGTCATTGATTTCTTGGGGTATTTTACCTTAGGCATAAATACATTGAATTATGGCTACGGGGCGTGTTCACTACAGTGAGTGAACAGTTTATCGAAACAACGTTCGCATGGCCACAGCGTTAACAAAATGTGCTAACACAATAGATCGCTACCGATGTATCAGACCGGGAGCTCCTGACATGTTGACTGACCCCTTCCTTCACACGATATCGTCCAACGTCTGTACTTGTTGCCTTGCTGTATTTGTGACCGTGGTTGTGACGGGCCTAGCAACATCGCTGCCAGCTTTGAGATGACCACAACAATGAATGCTGTGCAGCGCAGTGGATTTGCTTAATGGTTCTGACCCAAAAGCTCGGCACTTAAATGGCGAAGCTGGTTACTTCATCCTGAGGCGCAAGGTATTCGCACAATGGAATTGAATTTTCGAAAGCCACAACGTGCCCCTGATGGACTGAAACTGACAGACAAGTGAGTTCAGAATACCAGTCCAAACTTTTGAGCCCCATCTAGGCATCCTGGAGTCCCAGTAATGCTTGGGAAGTATTCCATCAGGATTTTGCCGGCAGAGTTATGATTTCTTCAGTGGATCATGAGATTTGGTGAGCTGCGAAAACATGTGCGTCGATTAGGATGGTTTTTTGCATGAGCATATAGGTAACAAAACGCAAGATTTTGACTTACAAAGTTTTATTCTACTCGCAAATGTTTTGCAGCTAAGAGCACTGCGCGGCTAAGAAGTTCCTCGCCCTGAAGCTCCAGCTCAAATGGATCAGACTACAACCTGAGAATGTTACCCCACTGCATGTTTGCTCTCCCCTAGCGGAATTTCACAATAATGCTGTTTTTGCGCACCAACCAATCATTGGCTTCATGGGAGATTCAGGTATCCTGTAGAGACTTGGTTTTCATGGCTAGTCAGCTTACTTGGGGCGATTGACATGCGAATTCAAAAAGTTTCGAGTATTTAAAGTTTGAAACACCTGTGACAATGGACCTCGGCATTCAAAGTGTGCCCCATCGCATGTACCACGTATTTGTCTTGGCGTACGGAGAAGTGTGTAGCATGGCCTTCGCAATTGTTGGCTGTGGGTGATCCACTGAACCCTCAACCAGAGAGTGCGCGGATGTCACGAATCTGCAGCCTCCATCAACATCCGATGGTCAACAACTGCGATGAACGATTGTGACGTGACTTTCTCTCAACTTCCGCACTTTCTATTCAATGTCGTGTGGCTGTCCTCACATAGTTTTGGTGTTCATTCAAATCTCCCTGTATAGTGATAGCAGTAGTTACCGGGACAAGATATCGCGGAATTATATAAGATCAAATAATATCATTCTGTTCAACGCTTGCTTCAGATTCATTGTCAAGACCCACCTCTTAAGGCTTACAAAAGTATCAATCCTTCAAGTGCTGAACGCCGACATCCTTCTGTTGAGTACGGGGAAGCGGGGAGGGGTTGGAGGGACGAGCGTAAATCCCAGGATGAACTGCTGCGAGTCAGTGGAGTCATGCATCGGCTGGAGACGTTGATTCTCTACCAGAACCAGAATGTTCAGCAATACGTTATCCCAAGCTACTGTATCCCCCTGTTTGCCTATTCTATACAGTACCAACTTGGGTTGGTGATTTACACGACAGACATTTGACTATTTGTTCACGTCTCACACTCATTGCCACCGGTTGCACGAGAAGCTGTCTGTTCACCACTCCACTGCCAATGTGACTGATGAGTGCTTCTTGTTGGTCTTATCTGAAATCAAACGTGTGACGGTCAGTACCGATTTTAAGTAGCCCTCTACTGGCCACGAGCCACTGGACCAAGGTCCCGAGTCGCTCTGCTCAGGAAGTGTCCGAGTTCGTTTCATCCTGCACCTGAATACTTACTGGTCCGTGTCAGTTTAGTTGAATATCTAGCTTGCAGCTAGCTTGCAGTAGGAGTTGCAGATCACTCTGTCTTTAACAAACGTCTGGTTGCTCTGTTTATCACATTCGTTCGAAGCTGTCCACCTGTTCCCGCACTCCCCAATAGACCTCAATGGTCTGAAGGCACTTGCGAACCTTTTGCGTCCTCCCTATGCCCAACTGTTTGTTACTTCCATAAGTTCGCTTAACTGGGACTACTAACTCGATTACCACGCCGAGATCGTCACAATGGTTGTTCTATACGGCTATCCGAATTTCTAGTCGCTCGCTAATATACCAGTACCAAAGCTGCAACTAAAAAGTGTAAACCCAGATCCTACTGCACATATGCTGTTTCCTACATTATCTCTGTCAGAACCGACATATTCAGTACCCAACGTCTCAAGCACACATGGTCCAACAGATATCCATTCTAAATTCGGTTAGAGACACGATAGGTGAAATTCGCCTTACTGGCCCAAAATGCAATGCAATCGGACATCACAAATTCATTTAGATCATCACCAGGTTTTCTTCTAACATTGAGTTCCAAATCCAATCGAGATCTCCGCTAAAAGACCTTCCAGAAGTTACCGAAATACTTTTCATAAGGAAAACTACTCACACGGTTGCTGAAAACTCATCGAGAGCAATCTTTCAGCAACCTTGTGAGTAGTTTCCTCTATAAAAATATACTGCGATATCTCGAAAATCATGCCAACTGAGCCGTGAGGCGGCCTGTGTGCAACACATTCAGTTGTAGAATACCATAAACGAGAGATTCAGTTAAAATCTCTCGTGAAAACCAAATTGATTTGCAAATGAGTGTATTTCTCGAAATAATTTCTCATTCCACAGTCTGCACATTGTGTACGGTCAGCTTCAGATACGAGATCCGCATCATTTTTCCACAGTATTCCCAGTTTTCACCAGCACATACACAAATCGCTGCATGGTGGTTTTCAAGTCCAAATGCATTAACTCTGTGACAGCTAAGTCTAGACATGGATGAGTTTATTGAGATAGATGAAAAGAAGGTTTGTAGCCAACAGTGACGCTCCATCAATTAGCGGGACTATGCTGATGCCGGACGAACGTCACATGAATCACGGAAAAATGTTCGCAATATGACAATCACCACCACACAACGATCACGCGAACAAAACAGACAATGTAATAATACTCTCATTCGAACAGCCATGGATGACTACCAAAGTGTAATATCTATGCATTGCGTCCTGCGCGTGGCCTTGGGTTTTTAGTTCCAAACGGTCTAGACACGCTGACTGACGACAGTTCGTTATAGGAGTGCGGAATGTGTCCACCGTACACCCTAGCACTCACTGTTCCTGAACTATCTAGATACATAACTTACGATCAAACACCAGTCAGGTCTGAATTCAAAGTACATCTGGGCACATAAGGACATGGATATCTTTCAATCTATTGTGTCTGTCATCAAGAAACTGGCTAGTCCCCAAGACATTAATTCTATGTCCACCGCCTCCGCGCGACACGCCTTCCAGGATGTGATCTGCATTCTCCCCACTGTCCACGGTTGGTGGCGCTGTCAATCGATATCAATGACCTTGTTATCATTTTTGTTCGTGTAACCGTTGTGTGGTGCTGACTGTCACATTGCGAACATTTTTTCCGCGATTCATGTGACGTTAGTCTGGCATCAGCATAGTCCCGCTAATTGACGGAACGTTACTGTTGGCTACAAACCTTCTTTTCATCTATCTCAATAAACTCATACATGTCTAGACTTAGATGTCACAGAGTTAATGCATTTGGACTTTAGAACCACCATGTACCGATCTAGGTATGTTCTGGTAAAAACAATACTATTAGTTATTGTGATTTTTTTATGTTGGACGCTGCCGTCATAACATCTGCATGCCGAGTCTGCCTTACCGATGAAAAAATGGTTCGGAAATTTCCACTAAATGCTTCAATATATTTCTCAAGATGACTGGATTGCTAATTTTATTGACAATAGATGTTTTGAGTTCCCTACAAATATGCATTGTTTTTTGGGGCTACCATGCTAAAGGACGGTCCTCACTTTGGTAATCTTAGCTTTTTTCGAATCCTCCTCTGATGTTCATCTGGACACCTGAAAAGCAAAGCGATTTCCTCGAGAATTCTTATGTAAAATAGCAGAAGGCTATTACGCGGAGAGTTGGGAATCTTCGAGTGATATAGTCAGGACTAGTTCACAGGACTAATTCATAGGTACGACCGTAATCTACATGACTTTATCGGAAAATTCGTGTTGGTTTATCCCATTAATTATTGTGGTGCTTGTGGGAGCAACAATACTCCGACCCGAGTCCGCGCTTGAAAGATATGGAAAGTGCAACCATATCTGACGCTTAAGAAGAGCACCGTTCAGTCGGTAGCATTTTGGACGGAAACGATTCTCCGTCACCTCCTTTGGACCTCCTCATCATTTGGTATGAATCTGTATTGAACTTATTAGAGGGACAGAATTTTGGCGAAAGGCGCTGAAGAGGAATTTGTCCACAGAACGATGAGGAGCGTTGTTCTTCCATATCAGCTTGGAGCGCAGTGTTAGTGTACCATTTGGTGCAATCACTGAAAGACTTCCGAATCACTGATGTTTAGCCAAAACAGCTGGTGATATTCAAGCAAGGGGGAACTAAACAAAGTGACGGATAATAAATGATGCCAATTTGATTCAATTTTTGGATAAAATCAAAGTATCCGTGTCGTATGGTGGGTGACCGTCTATTGGTTAGGTCTGCACTGAGCCTGTCAGACTATGCGATACCGAGAAGACAGAGGACTCGGGACACGGCTGTATTGTCAGGAAAGTATCCTTCTGAATCGCATGAACAGCATTCCCAGGACCATTTTCTTGTATCATGGCAGTATCATGCTTCAAATTCACCATGCATTGGCATTCCGACGTAATATTCTGTAACGTGACATCTGGGTTCTGCTCAAACTTGCTGAGGATCCTTCTTCTTATGTCTGCGTCTTCAGGAGACTTCAACCCACACACAAATATAAGACAATTGAATTCATCCTCTGTCATGGTTCGAAGTTTGGATCGTTCACACCCCTTGGTGATTTTGCCCGCATACGTAACCCAGTCTTCAGCAGCATTTTGCTCAAATTCATACAGTTATATCGAAGGTTGAACAAGGAAGTCTGTTCTTCAAATGTTGACGGTAAAACAGAAACGGTTTTATCGAAAGCTCAATTGGCTGTCGTGGCAAAATGTAGTTCGTAAAGCCTTCATGTTCAGCAAGTCCGATTTTCCTGATCAACTGTCTTGCTTTCCAGGAGTCTTCTCTGTTTCCCAGATCCAATCTGAAAAAGTATTCATGCTTGCTGAACCAAGAATCAAAAGTAATACATGAGATCAGATCGAACTGGAATTCAGGAATCGCGCTGAGCGTTGTGTCGATCACTGAAGCGGACGGCTCAATAGTCCGGTTAATCGGCTTTTGTAGTGACAATTTTTCAGTCAGTGTCTAGATGAACTTCAACTGCATCAGCTCAAAATGTTGCGCTGCTGTTTGAGGAAAGAATGCATCTATTCAAATGGAATCGCCATTCTGAACGCCCGTCTGCCCATGCTGTACCGTCTATTGGTTACGTCTGCACCAAGCCTGCCAGACTACGCGATACGGAGAAGGCAGAGGACTCGAGACACGGCTGTATTGTCAGGACAAAACATACAGAACTTCTGAGTAAATATATAGGATGACTAAATGGCCAAATATGGTTGTTCACTTGTTCGTTCTGTACAGCCGATGGCGGTGTTCCGGTCGTGAACACTTTCAGCTCCACTCTAATGGTCTTATGTTGGTGAGCCGTTTTGGCGAGCTCCGCCAACGCACCTGCTTTCCGAATGTGTCGTGCCGATGGTGACCTTGGGGATGAGTCACTCTCTGCAAACGTACCTTTCATGTCTGGGCGCGTCCTGACAATCCAGTATGAAAAAGACCAAACTCTCCTTCAAGGAAGATGATGCCTCAGATGTCCACAAGCTTAAAATCTCGATCGACGACTACTACCAAATAGTTAACAACCCCAGGGAGCTTCCTAAATTGTTACACATGTTAACAGTTCGTGGCAAATATATATTTCATGAGAAAGGTCCATTTCTCCCGTTTGCCGTGATGGTTCCTGAATGCGAGGTTATCAAGCAGTAGTTGAAAATAACCTCTCTATATTAATTTCCCATTGATATACTCTTGGAAACCTGATGGCACAAAGAAGTTGGATGGTTAGCTCAGCACTACTTAATCACCTCTCCTAAATCGACTTAGGTTTGTGCGCATTTTCCTCGAACGAGCCAGGATGACATGTATTTTGTCTCTCTCGAGATGCATCCCCTTTGAAGGATCGTACGATTCGTTGTGTCATGTGATTTTACTGGCTGCCTCGATTTATTGCCTCTCTTTAGAGGGGTCTGTTTCTGTGGATCACTCAAAATAGATTAAGGCGAACGACCGATGAGAAATAGACATGCAAACTGAAGATTCCTAAGCCGTCAACGAACCCCACATCAACACACAACTTTCTCAAACTCATATGCACGGAACAACTACAGCAAGTAGTGGACATGAACCCTGACTTATACTTGCATTCGAATAACTGATTTGGCCCATCGTCACACAATCTCAAACGATGAAATACTGTAGGTCGTTGTTGTTGTTCATTTTTGTAGATTAACCCAACGACAAAACCTAACTCGCAAACAAGGGCCCTCGGAAGCAACCTGATCTGCGCAAAACGACAGAATGTAAACTACACACCATCTGGACTGAACGGTAAAACCGTCAGCTACGTTACTGCATTCTCAACTGATCCGACGTACTAGTGACACTACTGATGGGGGAGGCATGCGAGTAGTATGTTTTCTTCTTGTAAATTCGCTTTGCGTCTCTTGAAAAGGGATATCTGTTGCGGAATTTGTGGAGTCGCTTTGTACCATTTGCTTGGATTTGAACAATGAATGACTGGAGTCAATGAATATTCAGGAAAGTCCGAGAAGACGCGTTAAGGAGAAGATGGATGTCCAGGCTTTGTAAATAAGGTGCAAATGAGAGTTTGCTTCTTTGTCCAATAGTCTGTAACTGGTCAGTTGGCATTTGCTAATAAATAACTGCGGAGCGGTTTTCTTCCTTTCCGGGATGTCAACCTAAAGAAGAGCTAGTGTCAACTCATGACACAATGTACCGCAACTCATATTTGTTAGTTCGTAGGTTTTAGTAACGTAGCTGAGCAGTCCATTTTTTGCCAAACTAACTTTCATCACTTACTGTTTTCAGGACATCACTTGGAATTAGTTTATAGCAGCGCCTTGGTCCCTAGCTGACTGGGTGCAGTGTTCATTAGCGTGACACGCGAGTCAGTCCTACCAAGCACCGTCACGCATATTTATTTTCTTTGGACTACGCTCTTCTCGGAGGCCTAATTGCCTGTCAACATTCGCGGCATCGTCCAACATATTGGACAACATTCGCCCTCACCTGCTGAGCACGATCAGTCTGTTGCCTATGCAAAACTTTCCCGAATAATTTAAAGCGGGCTAAACATGTGAGTCGGCGATTTGGGCTTATTTCAACGATGAACCATTTTGGACCAGGCTTGACGTGGTGAGGGTCGTTGGTCATTGTATATATGGTGGGTGGAGTATAAAGCATGATGCCAGACAGCTATGAGGGCTTTCCCT